TGAACACACACACACAGAGCCCCCACATGAACACACACACACACCCCCACATAGAGCCCCCACATGAACACACACACCCACATATAGAGCCCCCACGATGTACTTACAAAAAAATCCGCTGACTACCTACTGGATCTCCTCTCTGTTTCAAAGAACAAATTTGACCTGAGGTCTTTGCTCATCTACCAGCTTCACATTCCCTATTGCCGTACAAAAACCGGAGGAAGGGCCTTTGCTATTGATGCCCCCAGGGTCTGGAATGCTATTGCCAATAAATTGCAACTTGAATCACTACCTATGATATCTTCGCTCAAAACTGCTCTAGAGGAGTTGTACACCCCTAGCTGCCACTGCTATTCAGTGGCCTAAAATATGGCTCTAGATTTTGGTGTTATAATTTATGTAGTTTATTGTAAAAAATTCGGTCACAGTCCCTAAGATTACTGTTACATTGCATTTATGGCTTTTATTTTGGTGATTTCGAAAAGTTTTTTTTGTTTTGGCCATGTTTTGTTTATTGTATACGGAGTTAAACGGATGTCCTTAATCTTAGTTGTCTTGTGGTTGTTATTATTTTGACTTGCATCCCACTGGCATTTTTTGCACACAGCGTTGGTGTACGGTGCTATTTCAGGAATATTTTTGATGTTTTTTTCCTGGATTTTTCTGTTTGCAAAGTCACTTAAGATGTTTTCTTGTTCATGTTTTTTTGTTTGTTGCGGTTGCACCCGATTCAAGAGCCGAATGGCTCACAGGGCTATACCAAATAAATGAACTATGAACTATGACGTGAACACGCACACACCCCCACATAGAGCCCCGAGGGGAGGTCACCTGGCCGACAGGTTTTCACCCAGAAGCCCTCTCATGGGACCAATCTTCACGGTTTCCTGCGACCAGGGAATAGGGCGACCTACCCCGAGGCTAACTCGCACCGCGGCGCCGTGACCTGGGTTGTAATCACGTGGTCACGACGGGGCTGCCGAGCCACCGCCGATAGGAAACAACAAAAACACACACGGGCCAGCAGGCAGGTAGAGAGGGTGGGGCAGAGTAACGAGCGGCGGGGAAAACACGGGGCCCCTCCTCTCCGTGTTAGGACGTGTGCGCTTGTTCAAAGAGTAAAAAGCGGACGTCGGAGAGAGCACTAATCCGATTAGAGGGAAGAGGGAAGAATCCGAGGCTCCTGATTGGACGAGAGACCAGGGGATTAGCGGCACGTTACTTTTGATGTAAGTACAATAAAAAGGGGGAGAGGAGGTAGTAAAGGGCAGTCGTGTACTGCTGGGGTCAAGGATCGGCGGAGTCATCGTGCCTGCGACTGGATCGTCCGTGAGACGAGTCGCAGTGCAGCCAGGCCCCGTTCCCAGCGAGGACTACGTGCAGCCTCGCCTTCCCACGGCTTCCTACACCTCGGAGTCGAACCGTGAGTACGTAGGAGAGAGGTGAAATCAAGGGGAATATCCGTAGGGAGAGTGATTAGGGAGAGACGGGGACAGATTGAGTCCTAGACCACCGGGAGATAGGTTAGACCTGCCCTGCTGGCCCACACTGACACGGGTAGTTTAGCTACGTTGTTCGCGGAGAATAAATCGCCGGTAGTCAATAAACCTTGCCGTGTTGTCCCTGCGAGTGCGGAGAGGAGTGCACGGTGCTGTGAGCCTTCTCGTTCTGGTATCCTGTGTTCGCGCACGAGCGTGTATTCTACCCGCGTGTGTGCGCTCGCCGCTGCGTGTAGCTCGTAGTTAACGTGTGCGCGAGGTAGACGGGCATCGTGCACGCGAGATCACGCGTGCCGCCTCTGCTTAAACGTGTGCGCGAGATAGACGGGCGGCGTGCACGCGAGGTTAATCACACAGCCCTTTAAACCTGCTCCGGGGCACCTCCTCCAATCGGCTGCGCGTGTACGAGTGACGCCCCCTGCCCTCTGACCCCCGACCCCGGGTCCCGCGCGTGCGATTTGTGCACGGCGCCGGGCAGGTAGCCGCGTCGAATTTTGGTGGCTACGCGCCAGCCCTTTAAATCATGCCCCGAGGAGCCGCAGAGAAGGGGGGGGGGAGTCGGTGAGCAGTAACCCTCCCCAGGACACGGAAGAGGGGAGCAGTGGATCCCACATGAGCGAGGGGACGGGAGTCAGCCTCCCCGACATCCGCCGCCTTTGTTTTTGGCCCCCCACGCTCGACCAAGCCCGGGCCAAAGTTCGTTCTCAGTAGCACTGAGGGTCTGTTATGAGAACTGCACGGTGGTCACTCTTCAATAAAGTTCAGCGCATCAGCAGCATCAGCAGCAGCTGCAACAACAACCACCGGTAGCTGATCTGGCCCACAAATTAAATTCCCGCTGATGCCACCACCACTACCACCACCAGAGCGCAGATGCCAAACAAACCCCCTAAGTGTGAAAATTTACGAATACGTTTTACCCTTTCTGGCAATAAAACAGGAGGTGTTAAGAGATTCAAACACCAAATAAAAACCTTTTGCAAGCAATCGAGTCTGCATTAACCACACGCAGTACTTGTGGTGAACATGCAAACAAACGTGCTGTCATAATATATGCATTGTCTTTGAAACTGATTGGCTTTGATACTGGCAAAAAAGGTCCCATGATAGAGCTGCTCACCCCGAGCGATGTTCCGATACGTGTGGCATTGTCTTTGTACTGGTCGCCTTTTGGCGTTCTCTGGTCTGACACTGCTGAGACTTTTAGGCTATAAAGAAGGCTGCCTCTGGTGTAGGCCGGTCAGTTTCAAAGACAATGCATATATAATAACATTATCAGAGCATGTTTGTTTGCATGCTCACCACAAGTACGTGTGGTTAATGCAAACTTGATAAGTTGCAAAGGGTATTTATTTGATGTTTGAATATCTTAACACCCCCTGTTGTATTGCCAGAAAGGGTAAAACCTATTCTTGAATTTTCACGCTTTGATACTGGCAAGAAAGGTCCCGTGATAAACCCACCGAGTGACCGAAGCGCCCTGGCATTTCATCAAAATACTTATTTATTACGCTGCAGGAGGAATGGGATGAGCTACAAAGCTCTCCCCCCCCCCCCCCACAGATGTCCAGTAGGGGGCCAGTAAGAACGTTCCTTGCGATGCAAGAGGGTCACCCGTTCGGTTCGACCTCCCGGCGCGCCCAGTTGGAACCACGGTGCCAGGGTTGGACGCGTCGCTCCCTCACGCCTCGCATGCTTTCGATGCAGAGGACCCGCGGTTCAAGTTCAGCAACAACAAAAATGTAACGACTCATTTCGACCAATCGTCGGTCAAAATGTCCAAAATTTTCATTTCCTATTCATCACCCTTATGCCCGGGTGAATTAAGAGGCATTTTAAAATTGAATGTGTCAGCGTGACAACCCGAGTTGATCTTGTCTGTTGGGTTGGTGGAGGGACATGCGGTCGTTAAAAATATCTAATTATCCACGACACACGACAAACGAACTCAAAAGTAACTAATTATTAATAATTGCAAAGGTAATTTTCTGGAAAGTGTCATTTGCAATGATCGCTATTGCATTGTTTTAAATAAATATGCACATTCCACCAGTTATCGCCTCAGCGATATAACGTTCTGCAGCCCCCTCGTGATAAAGAATTTAATTGCAGTTTTGGTGGAGCGGTTATGATCGTCGCTGCGATATGTTAAAGTAACGTTCAATGCAAATCAGTTGGGTTAGGAATAATACGGGTTGGCTGTTACTCGAACCAATGCTGCTCAGATTATGTACTCCGACAAAGGCCGCGTGGCTGATGTAAAAAAAAAAATTGGGGTGGAGGAACAGGTTATGGGGAAGGAGGCGAATTGTGACTATTACATTTTGTTACTAATATTCTCCAGAACGACGCTAATTATGTATTTCGCGTTACGTATTAATACTGGTACAGAGAATCCTGTAGTTGCGAACGAGCTAGGTTGCAGAGGTCTGTTCGTAAGTCGATTTGTCCGAATTTACTCCGGTCGATTCCAAACGTGTTGTACGGCATGTACACTAAACACGGGGAATGGCTTTAAACGTTGCATGATCTCCCGTAGATGTAGATGGCACTGGTTCTTCACGTTCTGCAGATGTAGCTGCCACTGGTTCTTCATGTTCTGCAGATATAGATGCCACTGGTTCTTCACGTTCTGTAGATGTAGATGCCACTGATTCTTCATGTTCTGCAGATGTAGATGCCACTGGTTCTTCATGTTCTGCAGATGTAGATGCCACTGGTTCTTCATGTTCTGCAGATGTAGATGCCACTGGTTCTTCATGTTCTGCAGATGTAGATGCCGCTGGTTCTTCATGTTCTGTAGATGTCACTGGTTCTTCAGGTTCTGTAGATGCCACCACCGCCATAGATTCCACGACGGTTGAACTTACGACTCTCGGTCCGAACAGGCGACTGGACATACGGACAGGTTTGTTTGTATCTCTGAAAGTTGGTAAGTTGAATGTTCGTAAGTAGAGGAGTCCCTGTATTTACGTTGGCAACGCCTGGAATTCCTGTCAGGTGGAACCGGATTAAGTCGACTCCGGATCTGGGATTTCTCCACCCAGCGATTACAATATTCCGAAGACGTCACCGACCAAACCTCTTTGTTTATTCCACAACGTATAAGAACCGGTGGCGAGGCGCGTGGGGGGGAGGGGCGAACTGGTAACCACGTGACACCTGTTTGTCCAATGGTCGCGCGCTGTCCCCCCCCCCCTCGCGTCTCCTTATCGTATCCACCAAATACAAAACACCCCCGCCCCTGTGTTCGGCGACGTCACGACCCTGGTAGAGTTCACCGCGCGCCTCGATTACAACGCTCGCGACTGCGACGCGTGGATTCCTGCGGCCATCTTGGGTAAGGGATAAACAAACCGGCTTGAGCTTAACGGGTCGGGTGAAGGTGGGGGATAGGAGGTGGGGGTAGGGTGGGGAGTAGGGTGGGGTAGGGTGGGGGGGGTTAGGGGGTGGGGGGTAGGGGGGTTGATGACGTCATCGGAATGTCCACGCCCCCCCCCTCCTCCCGCCATGTCCGTCTACCCCCTAGCAAGATGTCTGATCCGGATTCCGCCCCAGCGGAGCGGCGCGCGTACGTTGAGCGCTCGCGTCAGGCGTCCGGACGTCGTTTCAGAGCCACCCCCTTCCCCTGTGCCACCCCATGGGGTTCACTTTTCAGCATTTACTAAAAGTCTTCGGCCTCTTCGTGCTCTCTCGCTCACACGCTCTCTGTGGGTTGTTGTTGCTGCCGCTTGAAACCTAGTTTGTTGTTGTTGCTGTTTTAAACCCGTAACAATTAGAGAGGGGGCTGGGTTTATTTTTTTTTTAATATAGATATTTAAGCAAAAACACGCAGAAGTTAAAGTTTTTATTACTTTTCACGGTTAAAAGACGCCTTCATGGCAAAACATCAGCGGGCCACGTTGCGGCAAGTCAACCTCATAGAAGTGAAAAGCAAGGTACGATTCCGTCCCCGGTGGGTTCACCGACCCAGCGGGGTGAAGTATGGTCATTTGAGCACAACATCCGTGGACGCTTGCAACAACAACAAAAAAACACACACACACATTGCTCACGCACGGCAAAGCAGCAACCCGCCTCCACCCGCACCTCTTTGTGGATCAAATCGACTGCTTTGGACGATGTCTCTCGCGACGCACGATCACTCCCGCGGGAAGTTGCTAGGACCATACTTCACCACGCCGGGCGTTTGGTGATGGACCGAAAGTGTTACGCACAGTTACCTCCTCCTCCACCACCCTGTGCAGTGTCCACGTTCACCGACTCGCCATCACCAGCGTGGTGAAGTATGGTCAAACGGGCTTCTTTTGACACGGCACGTAGTAGGGTGGGGGGGGGGAGGTGTGAAGGCCTTCATCCAGCAGTGGATCGACGCTGTCACAATACACTGGGCGGTGTTCATGGGTCAATCCGCTGCTGGATGATGATGATGGTGGTAGATAGTTCACTATGCACTGTTAGAGTCGTTTATTTTGTCGTCGTTGCTGCTGCTGCTGCTGCAAACGTACAGAATGTCAAATAGTTAACGTGTTGACGCGTAGGGTTGCGGTGTGGGCGAGCAAGTGGCCTCTGTACAGTGCGTGTACACACCTCCACTGGCCATACTTCACCACTCTGTGGCCTCTGTACAGTGCGTGTACACACCTCCACTGGCCATACTCGCTGGTTTCATTGAAGGTTACGTTAATGCCCTCCCTTTTAAATGCATTAACTGGTACGTAACTTTAACCAACGTGTGCTCTCAAACGTTGAAACGTGTTTTGGGCTAAGTGCGTGTTATAGTGCACCAGCGTGGTTGTGGTATGGTCATATGAACGACGAGGTGCAGGGGGAGATCATTTTAAGTGGATTGGTTAATTAGTTGACGCGTGTCTGCGCGCGCGTGTGTGTGAATTTGATGGTTTTATGGAATAGTTTTGAATGTCTTTAATGTTTTGCAATTGCGTTATTAAAGGCAGACCCGCGGCTTTGAAATGTTGCTTTCCCCCCCCCACCCCCCCCTGGGCTCCATACATCGGTTTGTTCATTTATGCGAACATCGTGAATACTGATTAGATCTTTAATGTTACTCGAAACACTTCGGTATTGTCAGATAGATGGCTGTGCGGAGTGATTGCCTTCGTCAACGAAAACGATGCCACCCGCGTGTCTCACTTGCGAGCCCCTCGGTGTGTTCCTCCTGCCTTTTAGAGCGCATTTACTTTTAATTTCGCCACTCCCATCTCCACGAGCTTTGTGATCTTTTGGCTGGCACCTTATTGGGTCCTCCGTTCCCATCACCATCATCACCACCATCACCACCACCGCGGAACTGGCTTGTGACAGCTCCGCTTTGTTGTTGTTTAGCCACGGTGTGTTCCTCCTGCCACAAGCCCCAAACTTTTCAAGGAGACATTTCAAACATCGTCAAGCAGTTTTTATTTAAACGTGCGTTCCATCAAGGTCACACGTTGCTTTAAGAATCATATAGTCCAATAATGTCCGCAAGTGCGTTTAAATACATTTTCGATTCGACCTTCGTGCATGGCAGTTCAAAACAATGGGGCGAGTTGATTGATCTACTAAATTATACTTTTTATTTTATTTTATCAGGTAAGGCCCACTGAGCTGTATTGCTGTTTGTTTTCAGAAGCGACCTGGCCACAAATGATAGCTGAACGAAGTGGCATATGTGTAAATTTATAGCAGCCAAATATTTTAAACGGATGTTTCCAAATGTGAAGGGAAAAATCGGAGGACCCGGAGAAAAAATCCACGCCACCACGGGGAGAGATACACCGCAAACTCCAAATATACAGCAGCAGGCGTCAGGGTCAGGATCTAACCCACGACCTCCTGCATACCAGGCGAGGCAGTTAACATCTAGACACTGTGGTCATGATGAGACCTGCCGATCGACCACAGTCGATCGGCAGGTCACACGTAGTGGGGTTAAAGTGTGGGCACTGCCGCCATCTCTCTTCTACCAAGCCATCTGGCAGGCCTGGAAGAGTAGGCCAAGTACTCCTTTTAAAGTAGCTTGATAGAATTCTCTCAATCAAGGGCCCTTATGGCAGCAGCAGCAGCAGCATGAGACGAGCAATTTGCTCTGAGAATTGTTAGCTCGTTGTTTACTTGCGCGTGGGTTTTATGGGTCTGTGTACCATTCTTGTGGAATGTTGTAAGATTTCGAGTTAAGTTTATAATATTTGGACACTGCTTTAATAAAAGGCCCTGCTCGTGAAGTTTAAAGACGCCACCCCACCGGCCCCACCTGGTTTTACGACAGAGTGGTTAGCAACTTGATGCAGTAGTTCGCCGAGCTGCGCTACCAACCCAGCGACCTGAGTTTTGATTCCCAGCCACGGCTAACATCAGTCCTGCACTGACTGGCGTGGTGAAAGTGCCAAACGTGTTACCCCATGGCCGACAAGGTATGGGGGAAGTGGTGGATTAATAAAGGGGTGTAAGTGTACGTTTGGTTCCGTGAATCATTACATTAACAATGTTTTTTAAACTACTATGTAGATATATTCTTAGTTTTTTCGGTAAAGTCACGTTGAAGAGAAACAATATATATTTTGTTATTTTGTTGTTTCTCTTCAACGTGACTTTACCGAAAAAAACTAAGAATATGAATTACTGCAGTCACGAAAGCTTTAAATCAATACTATGTAGATGTTCGTGGTTGTGCGGTAATAGCTTTCCGATGTGTTTTTTCGGCTTTTTTTACTTTAAACTTATCTTTTTGTTACTAGTTATCCTATTTGCTCTGTCGCCGTTTTAGCTTTTTTTGAACGAATATATTGTTCCTGGATAAGCCTCTTGAGATTTCACATCTCATTTTGCTTAAAATTATAAAGGCATGCAAGCAGTATGGGCAGATATCACGCTGCACCTTTCGGCATCGTAATCGTAATGTTTTTACTGTACGCAAACTCAAAGTCAAAAAGTCACCATGCCCTCATGTCCCAACGTTTGCACTCTAATCAGCTGTTAATGTTGAGCAAGTGTTGTAAACTCCACATTCCTGTGGTAGGGAACGGTATGTCCGTATATAACTGAAGGTGGCATGTGTATTTCGTGGAGAGAAAGGAACTGTCAAAGACAGAGGTAAAGAGGGGAAGGCCTTTAGCCCGCGCTTGAATAGTGGTAGGGCAGGAAATTACGTATTTTTCTGTATGAAGTTGTGGAAGAACTCAGTTGGTTCCTTAAGAGGGATCCAATTGGGGTGAAGTGGTGGTACTGTGGTTCAAGCTCTGCGCCATTAAACTGGCAACCTGGGTTTTATTTCCAGCCATGGATAACATCAGCGGCGCATTATATCCCTGAACTTGCCCCACCAAATAAAGCTGCATTGACGACCCACCGTGGTACAGTATGGTCAAACTACTACACCCCCCCCCCCCGTGACTAACATGGCACGGGAAGATCTTCACTCAGCAGTAGATTGACAAAAGGCTGTAAATATTACATTTCATAAGGATCGCTTGAATTCTCACACAATGGAGATAATTCCATGTTAATATGGCAGGGACCTCAGTGTACCATTAACACAACAGTAATCACTTGCCCGAACTGATGTGCAAGGCGTTTAAGACACCGAGCCAGCGTCACGGACAAGGCTGGGTTCAAGTCCGGGGTTAGAATCTGACTCTTTGGCTCCGTGATTAAACCGGCTTTTCAAGAATAATGAGTTCGTGGTCTCAGCCTGATTTTTTTAACTTGTATTTTACGAGGTAAGGCCTACTAAGCTGTATAGCTCTTTTTCACAAGCAACCTGGCCATCAAAAATGATAGCTCAACGAAGTAGCTTATAATTATGTGGAAATGTATAGCATCCAAATACTCAAAATGCATGTTGATTCAAAATATGAAGGGATAAAAACCGGAGGGGGCCCGGAAACATAAATCCATGCGACCACGGGGAGAGAGAGAGAGAGACATGCAAACTCCAAATGTAGAGCAAGCATCAGGGCCAGGATCGAATCCACGACCCCCTGTATACCAGGCGAGGTAGTTAACATCTAGCCACTGTGGCACCTCTGCACGAAAAAAACCCGCTGTTATCATAATCATCCAGAGATGTTGATGGCTTTTAGGAGATCTTCACTCAGCAGTGATTTTAAAGAGTCTGAAAGTAAGATTTGTTTCTGGTTTGTAAGAAAAGCAAACACGGAATCCTTAAAACAAAACAAGCGTTGTTTTAGCTTGATTGGAGTTGCGTTTTAATAACGCGCGTGCGGAAGGAATCCCGTGGGAGTTGCTGCAAATTTTTCTCCGATTAATGACATTGTTTGCGTCTTCAGCAAGTTAAAAACAGAAATAATAAAAGGAGCATTGTGTGTGATTGCACTTGCGTTGTCTCTCTCTCTCAACGCAAGTGCACGCTGAACCGCACGTCGCGCGCGATTGCTGAGCGTAGACCCACGGGAACGAAAACGTCCAACGGCACTTCCAAAGTTGTAGGAGGCGAAAAGGTGTGCATGGACGCGTTTCTTGAAGTGGGTTTCTTGACTTCGAGAGGCGTGCCGGGGCATTCGCGAGCGGAAGCATCCCGATAGAGAGGAGCGTTTTGACCTGCGGTGGGATGAGACGGTTCCATCTCCCCGCGCGGCTGTTGGAACGGCGGCGCAAGTTTCTTGAATCCCCCCTTGCCTGCTGTTCACCCAGCAGTGTAAATGGGTGCACAGCGGTTGGTTAGCTGATTTGTAAATGTGGAAGAGTGTATGGCGAGATGTTTACTCCCTCGCCTGGAATACAGGAGGTCGTGGGTTCGATCCCGACCCTGACGTCTGTATATTTGGAGTTGCGTGTCTCTCTCTCTCTCCCCGTGATCACGTGGATTTTTCTCTGGATCCTCCGGTTTCCCCCTCCACATTTAGAATCAGCATGAGTTTAGAGTATTTGGCTGCTATACATTTCCACATGAGATTAGTCACTTCGTTGAGCTATAATT